TATAATGGTGATCCAGCAATTCCTAATATATTTTTTTTAAGCATTCTGGTAGAAGAATGGTGGAAGCAAAAAAAGTGTGTAGAAAACAGCTGTCTGGGTACTCTGTTACCACGCAAATGCCTCCGCATTCATAGCAGCAACAAGAGCTTGTATCTGTGGAAGCAGCATCAGTTTAAGAGACCCGTAGTCAAGAAAGAAATACTTTGTTCTTATTATCGCAGAAATGATGCTGAAATGTAAATTTGAAAGCTTTATTTTTTTGCATATATACACAGGCACACATACAACAAAGGAATCCAACCCTTTTTGTTTTTAGAGGCCCCTCATATTATGAGGTCCTAAGCTGGGGGATTTTAGTAGGCTGCAGTGGGAAGAAGGCATCAGTGGAAGTCATTCAAACACTCCTCCTGTGGATGGAATTGAGTTGCGTTGGCAGAAAATGACCTATGGAATCATTCATGAGTCTTTTTTCTTCTTCTTTAAAGTTACTATTTTATTTACATATGATTGAATTCATGCAATTAGTCAATGTGGCTTTCTTCAGTTGTGTGGCAGCCTAATTTTGCAGCAGAAGAAAAGCATTCACTAATTGGTACAGTGGTTGGCATACTGAGAAGTCCAGCTTTCATTACTGAAAAATATGTCTGCCTGAAGAAGAATCTGTTGCAACACGCAATTTTTGCCTACGCGTGTTGCTTGCTCTGATGCTTGCTGAATCCCTTTTTGTGGAGAACATAACAGCCTGCTGCATCTCTCATCATTTACGACGTTGCAACCTTCATCAGTCTCTTATCAGGAGCAAGATAGTCTACAGCATTGGAATAGGTCTCTGTAGCTGTGGACTTTTCTGTTAGTAGATATATAATGTTCTTTAGGTTTTTGTATTATAATGAATATGTATAAGATACACTAGGGTCTCTATTGCATTTAAATCAATATATGAAGACACAAGTGCATATTAGTAGAGTGTGTTTTGTTCTGACATGGTGTTTCTTTACGCTTGCCCACCTGGAGGTTGGCAACCCGGTCCTAAGGGCTCTATGTAACCAGAAGTGCGCAGGGGGGAGGCCTCTATTTTGTAACACCCCAATGCATCATGATCAGGACAAAGTGCAGTTAAGTGCATGTCCTGATGAGATAGCCAGGTTCCCATGGGAAAGCGGTCACACTACCCCAGTCAAGGATCATTCTGTGTCTCTCTAGAATCCCTCATACCCAGGCCAAAATGAAGGACGGTTGCTTGCAGGACAGTACCTCAGTATTCCTTTCCACTCAAGATTATCCCTCACAATGCAATCTTAATCGAGCCTTTAATCAGCAGGATAATTTCATTTCTTGACCCGTTAGCACCCCCCCTCAAAGTAACCTAAGTACCTTGAGTTTTGGTTTCCCACCACTGTCATTAAAAAGGTTAAAAAAAGGCAGATGCCCTGGCCCCTGATATTCTGAGTTAGTTTTTCTCTCAGACTTTCGCCCACCACCATGGATAGGGCCCTCACTCTTTAAGACAGGAAGAGTTGTAATCTAACATTCCGCTTTCCCTCCTTCTCTTGCTATGGCCCTCAGTCCTCATGCTCCTTCTCCTCACTACGTGACTCCCAATTCATGCCATGAACCTCCCTCTGGCTCTCCCACAGACCCACTTCCAAACTTCCTGGTCTACCATCTTCTGCTCCTTCCCCATGCTTCTTCTTCCCAAGGCCTCAAGCCCTCCTCCCTGACAAATCTTGCCAGCTAAGGAACTTTTGCTTCCCCCCTCATCCAATCCTCCTTCCTCCTGTGTCTCTTGGACAGACAGACACACTTATTCACACAGCCACCCTCTTGGGTGGCTCTTCTTGGACTAGCTGTGAGCTAATGATTAATTAGTTTTCTTAATTTACTAGACACACTATGAATTATTTGATTTATCTTTTGAATTGCCAAAGTGTTCTTGGCAAGCATTTTACTGCTTGCTGTTGTTTGAACCTGCCAGTGTATTTTACTGCCAATTGCTATTTAAAATCTGCCAAAAGTGCTCTTGCTGTTACACAGCCTTTCCTCGTCATCTTTACTGTATCCCCTTTTAAGACATAAAGTCCTTTTATTGGGGAAACATAGTTCCAGTCCATGTGTACATCTAAAAAGACCTGATGCCCAGGTCTAAGAATTGCATGTGGCAGCAGACGGCCCCACGCATCAGTCTGTGTCTGTGGGTGATAGTATGCACAATCCTAGATGTTAGAGAGCAATTTCTGGAGTTTCTCATTAATGCCTAAATGCATTCAGAGATGCCACCCACTGTAGTTCTCCTGCCACCATGCCTCTAAAGTCAGCAGGTCATCAGACTTTAGATCCTTTGATCTCCTTTGCTTTTCCATCCCCCCCTCATTGAAACATCAGACTTCTTTATTCTCAAGTTGCTTTCAGGGGGTCAGTTTTTGATTTCTATTAACGTTCCCCTCCCGTGGCATTTAAGTCACGTGGTATTTTCTTTTATCTCCGAGTATGGTGGAAAGGCCATGACCTGGATAGCCCAGGCTAGCCCAATCTCATCAGATCTCAGAAACTAAGCAGGATGGGAGACCACCAAGGAAGTCCAGGGAAGAGACCACAGAGGAAGGCCATGGGAAACCACTTCTGAACATCGCTTGCCTTGAAAGCCCCACAAGATCGCCATAAGTCAGCTGTGATGGGGTGGAGGGAATGTGAAATGTAGCAACATTGACAATCTTTTACAGGAAATGCACAAACCACCGTTTGGGGGTTGTGGGGAGGAAGGGGCAAATACAGCTGATTGGTAGACTCAGATTGCTGTCCTTGGACCAATAAGGAATGAACTTGGTGGAACAAGTGGTGCTGCTTCCTTAGCTGTTCCCTGAACAGTAAATGAATAGCCTGAAGTAGACCCTTTGGTACCCTGTCGTGTCGAGTGGCTTTTTGCTCTCTGCTTGATAGTCATGTCAGCTGGATAAGTACAGACTGTCAGCACTCCTTCAGTTATCAGTCCTCACAACACTGAAATTGCACTCATGCTGTTGGGGTGAAAAGAATGTTTTCAAAGCGTGATAGCTAATTGAAACAAATCTTTCTGTTTTTTTAATCACTTTCCTCAGGCTGAAGTCATCTGTAAGCTCAACATGACTGATAGGTAAGCTTTTGCTAAAATTTGTACAATATCCAACTTCATGCAACTTATTTTTCCAAAACACTGCAGCGGGTGCAAGGGTTGCATTTCTTGCGAGGCTTTGAGACTGGTTAAGCAGCAACTTGGTTAAGCAGGAACCTGGCTGGCATCACCCCCAGTTAATTTTGGTGTCAGGATAACATTTTACTATGACTAAGGTGGCCAATTGATGTTGGCATGGACAGAGGATGAGGCCAGGGCCATGCAATCCTGGAGCCTTCCTCCAGTCACTTAACTGTGGTTAAGAGTGCCCTAGTTACATCTGCACCGCCCCATTTTGATCTGTCTCGTGTATTAATTGAAACATACGTTTTCACCCTGACCTGGGTAGCCCAGGCAACCCTGATCTTGTCAGATCTTGAAAGCTAAGCAAGGCTGTACTGCAGTGGGGTACCGCAGTGGGGTACTGCAGGGATCAGTACTTGGTCCACTGCTTTTTAACTTGTTCATTAATGATTTGGAGTTGGGAGTAAGCAGTGAAGTGGCTAAATTTGCGGATGATACGAAGTTGTTCAGGGTGGTGAAAACCAGTGAGGATTGTGAGGCACTCCAAAGGGATCTGTCAAAGATGGGCAAGTGGGCATCATAAGAAGGCCAATGCTATGCTGGGGATTATTAGGAAGGGTATTGAAAACAGATCAGCCAATATCATAATGCCCCTATATAAATCAATGGTGAGACCTCATTTGGAATACTGTGTGCAGTTCTGGTCACCACACCTTAAAAAGGATATTATAGCTTTGGAAAAAGTGCAGAAAAGGGCAACTCGAATGATAAAAGGGTTGGAACACTTTCCCTATGAGGAAAGGTTAAAGGGCTTAGGGCTCTTTAGCTTGGAGAAACGACAACTGAGGGGTGACATGATCGAGGTTTATAAGATTATGCATGGGATAGAGCAGGTAGAGAAAGAGGTACTTTTCTCCCTTTCTCACAATACAAGAACTCATGGGCACTCAATGAAATTGCTGAGCGGTCAGGTTAGAACGGAAAAAAGGAAGTATTTCTTCACCCAAAGAGTGATTAACATATGGAATTCACTGCCACAGGAAGTGGTGGTGGCTACAAGCATAGACAGCTTCAAAAGGGAATTAGATAAGAATATGGAGCAGAGATCCATCAGTGGGTATTAGCCACAAGGTATAGATAGGGGCTCTGGGGCAAGTGATGCTCTGTCTTCTTGGTGCTTGGGGGGGTCAACAGTGGGAGGGCTTCTAATGTCCTGACCCCACTGGTGGACCTCCTGATTGCACCTGGTATTTCTGGCCACTGTGTGACACAGAGTGTTGGTCTGGATGGGCCTTTGGCCTGATCCAACATTGGCGTCTCTTATGTTCTTATGACCCTGGCAAGTATTTGGATGGGAGACCTCCAAAGAATACCAGGGCCAGGAGGCAGAGGCAGGCTATCAAGCCACTTCTCTGAATGTCCTCCATGCCCTAAACTAGGGGTCAGCGGAGGTCACTATTATTTCCAGGTATGGGCACACACAGACACAAATACAAAAATACCTCCCCCCCCCAAGAAATGCTTTGACTTGCTAGGTTATTGTCAGTGGACTGTTCCTGACAGCTTAAGGGTGCTGTGGACTTGGGATGGGCTACTGAGTTTAATTGAGGGCACACGCTTACAAAACTGCAGCAACTTGTCGTATTCAGGGGAAGTCTGAAACATATATGCATTCTGAAAGCAAAGTGAAGTACTCATTTTTCTGCTCAAGTGATATAATTGTTGGTCTAATGCACACCGAAGTATATTAGTCTAGTTACTGGACAGAAGCTTTTCAGCCTCTTCATTCTGTGTCAGACAGTGTCAACTTCAGGATTAAACATTTAAAATTATTTATTTATTTATTTATTTCACTTATATCCCATCCTATCCCATGGTGGGCACAGGGTGGCTTACAACATAAACAAAATACAATAAATATATAATTAAAACCAGTTAATTAAAACAAGATGGCAGCAAAAACTTAAATTGTTCTAGAGCCTCCTGTTGGACGTTAGTATTTAATACTGGGCCAGATGCAAATAACACTCTCATAGCCTTTTATCTGAGTTAGCATTCCTTCCACAAAGAATCTCTATCTGTTTGTTTCAGGCTTGTTGACTGGCATGCATAGCATTTATTATTTCAGAGGCGATGCTAACATGTAATATTTTATTTTACTACAGCTTTGCCTTTGGATCCCTAATATCTGCAGTTGACCCGGTAGCCACAATTGCTATCTTCAACGCCCTTAATGTCGATCCTGTACTTAACATGTTGGTCTTTGGGGAGAGTATTCTCAATGATGCAGTCTCAATTGTCCTGACAAAGTAAGTCTGTTCAGATATTCAAAAAAGTCCTCATGCTTTAAATGCTACTGTCAGTCAGACAAATACCTGCCTAAAGACACACATAATATTTTTTGATAGATGCATCCAGGATATTTCCAAGTGTACACCAAGGGTGCTTGGAGAAGGAAATAAAGTATAGGTATTTGTTTGCAGTTAGAGAAGTGTCTCAGGTAGATGTGAGATTTGGAGTGCTTGGCGTTAGATGAGAACATAGACGTAGTTGGCATTTCAGAAATCTGGTAGGATGGGGAAAATAAGTAGCATGTGACTACCCCTGGATATCAGCTAGCGAGGAAAGACAGGAAAGGACTTATCTGGATTGAGTAGCTTTGTATGTCACAGAAGGTGTACAAAAAGACCAAAAAACTATGTCACTTTATGCATGCTAAATAATGCCATTTTAATCCACCTCAGCAACCATTTGCAAATGGATTTTGCCATTTCACACAGTAAAATACAGTTGCAAAGTGCATTGAAAGTGGATTGAAAGTGTGCTATTTAGTGTGCATGAAAGGAAAAGACTGCCCCGCAGAATTGCTATCGGCGTGAAAACCAGGGCTGAAAGTTAACTTAATATTGGTGACATATTGTTTCTTTTCTTATATGAACTTTAAGGAGGATTTTGACATGGAGAAAAAAATAAGGAAGGTAACCAGAGGAAAAGGTTGTGTAATAATGTGTGTGCAGGGCATGAAAAAGACATCGAAGTCTGGCTACCAGAAATGATTGTGCCTTGGAACAATTGTTCATGTAGCTGACTACAGGCCAGGCAACCTTCAATTTGATCCTCAATGATGCTCAGAACTTGATGCGAGAAATAAATGTAGTTGGGTCAGTTGGGAATAGTTATCACAATGCAATTTGTTATGGCTTATTTATTACTGATGAATTTATGTTGTTTTTATGGTTTCATTGTTTGGTCTTAGTGAGCAACCACATGCTGGTTTCTGGGAAAGGAGCATATAAATTCTCCAAATAATCAGGTTCAGCAATTATGTGCAAGGAATGCTGCACAGAATATTTAACTATATGTGCATTTGTTTGGTTTCCATAAAGGTCAAAGGGTTTAGCTTGGTGCAGAGTTTCAAGGGCATCCCTGGTGGTTATAACAGAATAGAGTTTGACCTCAGCAAGAAACAGGGAGCTGACTCATAGCTGTGTGCTGCGATGGAAGTATGTTCCATTAGTAGATTGGATGTAATGAATGGCAACGCCAGATCCTAGGAGGAAAGACCTTATCTGACTTCTCCTAAGTGTAATGGTTACAGCCAGATACTTTGCTTATAAATCCAAAAGCTTTATTCCTTGGGTTTTATGTTTCCTAGGGTGCTGCCCTACCTCCACCTTTTTGCCTTCCATGTTCTTCAGTGCCTTCATCATCCGAGGAAAGAGCACATTAATTTTGTGTGAATATATGGGTGGGAAGAAGGGGGGGGTCTTCCACAGTCCACCTTTGTTCCCCGTGAATGCTCATCTTTATCATATCCCTGTTATCCCCTGTTTTGCTGCAGTAGGCATCTTTCTGGTCCTTTTATACCAATACCAAGAGAGCATCACAAAAACAAGGGTAGATTTCCAGATTTTTTAGCAGAAATGTGTTTCCCCTTGGGGGGATTGCTCCAGCACTTGATTTAATGCCTTTTGACATTCCACTTGTTATAGGGCTATAAATGCATTTTAAAAGCAGTTTCAGCAAAGAAATGTAGCTTGTTGAGATTTAAAAAAACAAACCCACGCACGCACAAATCGTGTGGTTCTTGCAGGATCTCAGATTTAGATGTGTAACTAACTGGCCCTGGTTGTCTTTTTTTCTTTGTTAAATTGTTCTCAGCACTGCCGAAGGTTTGACAAGAGAACATACGTCAGATGTAAGCGGATGGCAAACCTTTCTACAGGCACTGGGATATTTTCTGAAGATGTTCTTTGGTTCTGCAGCGCTAGGGACTCTTACCGGCCTTATTTCCGCAGTAATATCCTTTGCTTTGGGGGAGGGAAGGCGACATGGGAGGGCCCAGTCCCACCAGATCTTGGAAGCTAAGCTAAGCAGGGTCGGTATTTGGATGGGGGACCACCGAGGAAGACTCCGCAGAGGAAGGTGATAGCAAACCACCTCTGCTTCTCACTTGCCTTGAAAGCCCCTTGCTTGGGGTTGATGTACGTCAGCCGCAACGTGACAGCACTTCACACACGCACACACAGAGACACCCTTTGCTTTTGGGTAATACAATGTAAATGCATAAACTAAGATGTCTTTACATTTTTATAAAGATTCTCCAGTGCTTTCCTTCAGGAGATTACTATTTTGAAACAAAGGCCTTTTGCTGGCAATCTGTTTCCTTTCTTGCATTGCAGTGATCTTGGGCATCTGTTTTGGAGCGGCATAAAACCTTTGCAGTTGGGTATGACTCCCATTAAAGCCCAAGTTGCCGTCTAATAGCTCATTCTTGCATGATCATGGAGGCTTATAAAACATACTGGGAATGTATTTATTTATTTTGCTGTGGCCATAACAGATTAATACCCTTTCAGTAGTGGGTCTCTTTTTTGTTAGCATATGCTCCAGTTTTCTTATGTATAAAAAATTCAATTAAAAAATTAGGAGTTTTTCCTCCCACTTTGAGGGCTTTTATAGCCCAACTATGCAAACTGTATTCAGCCAGTTGGGTCTGACTCTCGTTCAGTGTGGATTTGTGTCAAACTAAATCTTGGGCTTTCTGTACTAGCTTGAATAGGTTTTAAATGTCTGAAGGGAGCCCACTGTTAGGCAAAAGATCAGCTGCCGACAGAGGTTGCCTGGCTGCCATTAAGACAGAAGCTTTCCTTTCCTCCCACTCCCCCCCTATCTAGTAAACAATATGTGGGATGTGACATCATCGCTGTATGGGTTTCTTTGCCCCCTGCAAATGTTAGCAAGTGAAATTCTTGAGGGCGGGGAGGTGCTGGTAAGCAAGCAAGGCAATGAGCTGCACAGCATGAACTTTAGTTTGTTAGACTCTACAGGAGAGAAAAGAAGAGGGTGATGCTGGGTTACTTACTGCTTTGGGTGGCAACCACACAATCCATGTAAAACCTAATTTCAGCCTCGGGCAAGGGAATGGTGCATACCTAGAGGAAACACCATCATTGCTTTAGGAAGCTGCCTTGTTGTTTACCACTAAAGATCTTTTTTTTAAATTGTCTTTCTTTTTCCCTGTTTTACAAGGGAAATTGTTCACAACACCTGTCAGGCCTTGCTGTCGAGACCTGTAGTGTAACTCCTCTCAGTGAAGGCTCCTTCCAACCTGGCTTAAACTAATTGATGCAGCGGCCAAATCGCTCACTCACGACTTTAATGCCTCTCCCCATAAGTAAGTAAATTAATAAATATTTTCTCTATACAAAATGTCGAGCCAAGCCAAGCCTTGGGTTGAAGATGGGTTTCCTCCCTACGAGAGTCTTGTGGGCAGTGTTCCCTCTAAGCTGAGTTGGTGTGAGCTGGCTCGCAGTTTCTTAGCCTCCGGCTCACACATTTTCATCTTAGCTCAGGAAGGATGGGACTCCAGAGCAAACGAATTGATGCTGAAAGGGGAACAAAGGAAGGTTCAGAAAGTTCAGACCCTTGACGTGGGCAAAAAGAACATGAACATTCAGACCTTGTGTGGGGGCGGTGGGCAAGACCAGACCAGTCCACTTTCAAGTTAAGGAAACATCAAAACATGAAGCTGATATGCTTCACTTGGCGGAGAAGCTAAGCAATAAAAATAAGTAACTTGAAAGGTAGCTAGGAATCCGACGCTTCTAAGTTTATCGCTTCAGCACACTTAGTAGGTAGATGAAAGGTTGTTTTACGTTGCCATAGCTAGAGTGTGAGGGAGGGGGTCAACTGATCTCCTCAGCCAGAGAGGTATAAAATTAGTCTGTGTGATAAGATAAGACAGAGCGCTACAGGGGGATTGCCCTCCTGTTTCGTTCTCCATGCTTTGCAAATCATGCTACAATAAAGACTATCTTTTGCCGATTCTCCGTGTGAATCTCCTGCTTGACTCGCGTGTCCGGTAATTCACACGTAACAAAGGTATAACCTTTCATACATACCCACACTTCTCAGATACAGTGAAATGGAAGTTGACTTGGGCAGACCCCCCGTGTCCTTTCTATTCTTCCATTTAAAAGTGACTGTCTTTATTCGGAGGTATTTTTAGCCACTGAAGCGAAGGCAGTTTCTATTGCTTGCTTGCTTAGAATCTTCTGGTTTCTTATCCTTGAGGAATGTTTGATTCCATGTCATAGTCTATCTCATCATCCAACTTTTGGCAAGGTATTCCTCTAAATATTTGACAAATGGGAGGACAGCCTAATTTTGTGGATCCTTAAATGTGTTTTATTTTTCACACGGTGAGCACCCTTTGAAATTAACTTCTCAAATGCATAGCAGATGGTTTGGAGAAGACATTTTGTGGTGAGTACAACTGTGATATAATTCAGATGGGTTTAAATAGACCTTAGGGAAAACTTTTTTAAAGTAAGAGTTGTTCAATGGGCGCGCCTCGCCGATCTCGCCGCTGTTGCTCTGCCGCCGCCGATGCTCCCACCACACCTCGCAATGGAGGAGGGTGCCCCCTGCCACCTAGGGTAGGTACCCATTTATCTACTCGCTGTTGTTACTGCTTTCGAACCGCTGGGTGGGCGGGAGCTGGGACTAGGGCCGGGAGCTCACCCCGGCCACGGTGGGTCTCGAACAGCCATAGTTTTACCGCCTGCGCCACCGCTCCCGTTTAGCAACAGCTGTGGTTATAATCTAAGTACTCATTAGTATTGTGTCTTGCTGTGCGTTATTCTGGATTTGATGAGAACTTAACGTGCCTTTTGCCCTACAGCATTTGTGGGAGACACAGCTCATAACTGACATAGCCTTTTAGTTCGCATGCCAGAAAAGCATCTGTTTAAAGAGAGGTGACGCTATACCACAATTCACACTGTAAAAAACCCTGTGCATGATGAACATCTTGCACTAACGTGAGCTCTTTGACATTATGATTGTTCGCATAGAATCAGGTAGGCTTCATGTCTTCTCTTTCCCATCTTTCTGCTGGCGGAACATCTCTGTCTTACAGGCCCTGCGGAATGGTATTAAGTCTCTGCAGGGCACGGATGTCATTTGGCAGAGAGTTCCGCCAGGGCAGAAAAGGCCCTGGCTCTGGTTGAGGACAGCTGGGTATCTTTCAGGCCAGAGATCAGCAGGAGGTTCTTATCTCCAGAGTGTAATGCTCTTCTGGGGATGTACCAGGAGAGGCGGTCCCGTAGGTACGTTGGTCCCAGACCATTTAGGGCCTTAAAGGTTAATACCAGAACCTTGAACCAGTGCAGCTGACAAAGCACTGGATGAATGTGCGCTGTCAGTGGGGTTCCAGTAAGGACCCAGGACAATGCATTCTGGACCAGTTGTCATTTCCGGATCAGTCTCAAGGGTAGCCATGCATAGAGCAAATTGCAATAGTCTAGCATGGAGGTGACTGTTGCATGGATTACTGTGGCTAGGTCAGGGCGAGACAGGCAGGGGGCCAGTTGTCTGATCTTGCACAGCTGGAGAAACGCCAGTCTAGCAACATTTGTGATCTGGGCCTTCATTGATAAGGAGGCATCCGGAAACACACCCAGTCTCTTGACGGTTGGCACCAGTATTAAAGGTACACCATCAAGAGCTGGGAGTCTGTACCTTAGCCCTGAGTCCCCGTCCTCCCCCAGCCACAGAACCTCCATCTTTGATGGATCCAGTCTCAGCCAATTCTGCTTCAGCCATCCTGTCACAGCCTCCAGCCCTTCGGCCGAAATAGCAGGGGCAGTGTCCAGCCGGCTGCCCATCGACAGATACAGCTGGGTGTCATCTACATACTGATGACAGCCCAGCCCAAAAACTCCACACCAGCTGGGTGAAGGGGCGCATAAAGATGTTAAGCAACACTGGAGAGAGGACTGCCCCCTAAGGGACCCAAGACAACAGGGGGTGTCTAGGTGATACCTTCTCTCCTAGCACCACCCCCTGTTCCCAACCCTGGAGAAATGAGGTAAGGCACTTCAGTGCCACCCCACAAACTCCTACATTGGCGTAATGGGGGCATGCAACATGTTTTCAGTATAAAAAACCTTGTCTTAAGAAGCATTGCCCTCATTTTGAAGGATAGCACAACTTCATGTTTGTTTGTTTTTCAGTGCTCCTCTAAAATTTCCCAGTTTTTTCACTGGACATATTAGAAAGAAGTCAAACTTTTTTATGGTATATATTTTGAAAGTGAAAAAGCTTTGCCGTGAGATTTTCACTCATTCTGACAGTGAAAATATTTCATAGGAGTTCCCCCGCCCCCAGTGCGCCCCCAAATCTCCTAATTTTTCTCTTGGAAAAATGGAAGAAAACAAGACAGGAACCACCACCCCACCCGCAATCTTCCCAGGCCTTCACATCTCTAGTTACAATTAGTGCTGGAGGCAGGTCTAAATTACTGCTTTTTTATTTTCAAAGGGGCAGTGGCTATTGCATCTTTGTCTCAATATCCTTGCCTACGACTTGATTTTTTTTTTTTTTACACGAAGCTTTACCAAATTCAGTTTGCCTAAATACTTCTCCTCCATTTTATGGCTGCTACAGTCTCTGGATTCGGGCTTTCCACCAAGTCCAAAACCAGCTTCTCCCCCTCATTGTTTTTGCTTGTTTGTTCTCTTTCACATCCAGTCTAAAGAAGAGGTTCTAATGAAATCGGAACCCCATTGGCCCTCATAAACATACTGCCCTGCTGTTGCTTTTGGACTCCTGTTAATGGCTTTTCATGCCATGAAGAAAATTGCATTGTGACAGCTGATTCTGTTTAGCGAGCCATTACACACAAAACAGCTGCCTGGAACAGCTGTGGTGGAGATTGTATTTCAAGTGTCATCCGTGCTGCTTGGTGTTTGTGTGAAGCACGCCTTAGAGAAGAAGAGCGCAGAGGACAGAAGCTGAAAGTTTTATAAGCAGTTTGGATACTAAATATAATGTCTGTGCGTGTAAAGAGGTCGAGTTGCAGCTGACTCATGGCGGCTCCGTAGGGTTATCAAGGCAAGAGACTAACAGAGGTGGTTTGCTGTTGCCTTCCTCTAAAGAATGACCCTGGAGTTCCTTGGTGGTCTCCCATCCAAGTACCAAAGAGGATCCTACCCTGCTTAGCTTCTGAGATCGGGCTAGCTGGGGCCATTCAGGTCAGGGTGTAATGGGGGCATGCAATTTTCTTTTGTGGAAATGCTACCTAATCTTTTCTGCACATTTGGAGAATGAATTCATTACCAATATTTTCCGGGAGCTAATGGCCAAATCATCACTCGAGCCAGGGTTGAAACTAGAATTATGTGCCTTTCCTGTACTCCTCCCCCCCAGGATTACCAGCTTCGATAGAAGACACATGCCAAGCCCGTTTGAGCTGAGACAATTTGGCTACTGCGCTAGAGTCTTTTATTCAGATTAAAGGAAGCCTCCATAGAATCATAGAGTTGGAAGGGACCTCCAGGGTCATCCAGTCCAACCCCCTGCGCAATGCAGGAAATCCACAGATACCTCCCCCTCCACACCCGAAGTAACCGCCGTTCCACACCCAGAAGATGACGGAAAAACCTCCAGGATTGCTTCCTGACCCCAAAATGGCAACCAGCATTTCCCGGGGCATGTAAAAGGGGCCACAAGAACTAAGCACTGAGGCAGCCCTTCCTGCCCTCCCTCTCATGATCTGCCTAAGTTCACAGAATCAGCATTGCTGTCAGATGGCCATCTAGCCTCTGTTTGAAGATCTCCAAAAAAGGAGAGCCCACCACCTCCTGAGGCAGCCTGTTCCACTCAGGAACCACTCTTACTGTCAGGAAGTTCTTCCTAATGTTTAGCTGAAAACTTCTGATTTAATTTCAACCCGTTGGTTCTGGTCCAACCTTCTGGGGCAACAGAAAACACCCGTGTCAAAGCTCCAGCACTGCAGCTCATTAAGTATCTGCAGTTTGTGGATCTGTACTCAGGCTTGCCGTGAGAAACTGCCTCAACCTGAAACAGCGAAAGATCCAAACTAATACATTGTAAGCAACTAATGAGAGAAGGACCTAAATGATCTTCTTGCTTCTGTTCAGTCTTGAGGCAAAATGAATATGCTGAGTCACATCTGCTGAAAGTTCTGTCTAATGAAGACCAAATATAGGGTTGGATCAAAACAGCTTTTCCGCTCTGTATCACCCAGTCCGCCCCCAACCTCTGGCCTGCATGGCTTCTATCCATGCAAGTGTCACAGCTTCTTTGGTGGTCAAAGATGACCCCCCCCCCTTCCTTTTCACCAGCAGAAAACCTGGTTGCATTGATTAATCCAGGATCCTCTGTGCATATAAATAAAATCAAAATAATAGTCAAAGGAGGATTTACTGTTTTTACAGTTGTATTAACTTATTTGGATTTCTTTACTGATATTGGGTTTTTTTTTAAATCTGGAAAGTAGTGTCAGATAACAAACTAGCTCAGTGATTCAGGATCAGTGACAGAAACCCCGCTGATAAATATCAGAACTGATTCACCCCCCTTTCTCCATCAAGTCTGACTATTGCTTGAGCTCAGTATAGTCTTCTCTGACTGGCAGGAGCTCTGCAGGGACCTGGGGAAAGAAAAGGTCTTTCCTACCACCTACCAATACCCTGGAGATGCCAGGGACCAAATGCAATCCAAGTCTCATGCACGTGGAGCTTATGGCTGAACTCCCAGTCCGCGTTCTCCTGCCTTCTGAGGGATACTCCTGAAATCACTCCTGTTTCAGTTTCTGAAAAAGTCCTCCCAAAGTGGGGACAATGTCCTGTTTGCTTGGAGAGAAGGTCAGGAAGGAATCATTTTGAACTAGACCGCTATTGAGACTGAACATTAGCTTTTAAGTACAGTGCCTGGGGCAGTTAAGTGCGCTCTGACTCAGAGAAAAAAATTGTGCTGTAATAAATTTGTTAGTCTTCAATATGCCAAAAGATGCTCTTGATATATTTAGTTGCTTCAAAAGGTTGGGGGCAGGCATCTGGCGAGGATGATTTAAGATGAGCAAAATCTCCTGTGCGTCACAGGAGTGATGAAATGGCTCTCAGTCCGCACAAACATTTTGTGCACTGATCATTGTCTCAGAAACAAAGGCCAGATGTAGAAAATCTTGGGGAAACTCCCTGTTTCAGCCTTTGGCTGAAATCTCTAGAAAGCCTGCCGCTCAGACACATTCAGCATCTTGTCCATTAGTGGCTTAAACCATGATCCTTGCCTTTTCAGCAGCCCATGAAATCTGGACTGCAATCCTACGTGCGGTTAGGTGGCTTAAGCCCCATTGAAGGTAGGGAGATTTAGAAAGTACTGCTGTGCATAGCAGTGCAACCCAAGTGACACCTAAGAGTCTAATTGAAGAGAAACAAGGAAGGATTAAAGGTAAAGCTAGCAGTGCTGTAGTGCTGGGGTTCCTGTTTGAATCTTGAGGATTCCTGTTTGGAGAGGGATCCTATCTTGTGCTTTAGACTTACAGTGTATTCCTAAGCAGAGTTCTACACCCACTGACTGCAGTGGACTTAGAATGATATAGCTCTTTTTAGGGCTGAATCGTTAGTTCCTTTGACATTTCTTGTAACGTGGAGCTTCCTCGCATGGGAGAATGGGCATCTGTAATTTCTCCTGAAATAGTATTTATTTGTTTATTTTATTCACTTTATATCCCACTCCTTCCTCCATCAAGTAGGGCCCAGCTTAAATAAAATGATGAGAAGGCTGTGGTGCAGTGGCAGAGCATCTGTTTGGCATGCAGAAGGTCCCAGGTTCAATCCCCGGCACCTCCAGTTTAAAGGACCAGACAACAAGTGATGTGAAAGACCTCTGACTGTGAGACCCTGCAGAGCCACTACCGTTCTGAGTAGACGATACTGACCTTGATAGACTGATGCTCTGGTTCAGTTGAAGGCAACTTTGTGTGTGAGAAAAATAAAAGCACTCCGTACCACATTTCTTTCCTCTGTGTATATCAGGCTTTTATAGGCCATGGACACGTGAGTCATTATTTGTTTGGATATTTGTGCCCTGCTTTTCCCCCCAGTCAGGACCCAAAGTGAATTATAACATAATTTCCCCTTTCCTCCATGTCGTAATCACAGCAACAGCCCTGCTGGATAGGTTAGGGCTGAGAGAGAGTGACTGGCCCAGGGTCACCCAGCGAGCTTCCATGGCAGAGTGGGGATTTGAACCTGGGTCTCCCAGATCCTAGTGCAATACTGTGAACCAGTACAACAACATACCAGGACTACTGGGTCATCTCTTCCCACCCTGATGACAAGCTGTAATGACTACGTGCATTGTTTTTAACAGTCTCTTTTGCTCCTTTGCCTTCCTTGAATTTTGCTTAACCATTTGATATTGACGTGTTAAAGCATATTGATCTGCGGAAAACTCCCTCCCTGGAGTTTGGAATGATGATCATCTTTGCTTATCTTCCGTACGGACTCTCAGAAGGCATTTCTCTCTCAGGTAAGCTACGAAGAGAGTAAGCCAAAAGGTAAAGTTGAGTTGGTTTGCAGGATTACTGCAGCTCTTTAAAATTTCGGCTTTCTGTCATATTTCTTCCCTATGACTTTATGCAAGAGTTGTAAGCTCTCATGTATGCTAAACTTTGTGCTACAAAATCTCCCCTGTCTATAAAGCCTTTAAAGAATAAGTGAGGGAACTAACTCTGCTCTCATCTCTGTGACACTCAAACCAAAACACCTTTTTAAAAGTTGCTTAGGCTGCAGCAGGTTTCATGAGCCTTTGGGCAACACGTATTTGGGACAGACAGTTTCAGGTTCACCCTGTAGCCCTGCCTACGGCTCCCAGGTAGAAAATAACATCCAGGCCTGTGCCGTAGACAGTGTGTTCCTGAAGCCACTTTCAGTCTCAGATTGAAAGAGGGAGTGGGTAGGAGGGTTCATTGAGATCACAGGTACAGATAACACTGGCCGACCTGGGCCAGATATGACTTTTTGCCCATGTCTGATCAGGTTTTGTATGTCTTGATTTGCCTAACATATAACAAAGCAGCTGTTCTTGGTGGATCTTGTATGTATTAAAAGGGACAAAAGAGAAGAAAGAGGTGTGTGAATTATGAAGGGCTGAAGCTGGCTTTTTAGCTCAGAACCAGCACTTTCCCCTCACTCACATGACCGCTGGTGTACTGTGAATGAGCTGAGGTTTAAACAAACCATGGGTTGTCACGACATTCAGAGGGAGTCATGAGGAGCACAACTGCAACTCCAATCATTTCAGTAAAGCGGGGCTTGTTGGGTGCAATCCTGTATGAGTAATACTGATTTTGCAACCCTAAGGGATGGTACTTAAATACCAAAAGTGTCAGCCCTTAGGATCTGGAAAATTCTCCCCTTCTCCTTCTGCAAAAGAATCCCCACAACTTATCGCACATAAGGGATCTTTTTTCAAATCTAAGTCTGCCTCTCATCAGTCCTCAGTGTCAATGCTTGAAATCGATTTTCACTTGCATGTTCCAGGGTTTGGTATTTTCTCACTTCCTAGTGTTGACCACAACCGCGCAGCTGCACATCCAGGCTGATTCTAACAGAAAGCAGCTCTTTTGATAGCTAGTTCTATTCCGGGAAAGACAACTAACGCTTGTCTATTTGGACACATAAATTAGAATAGATTTTCAAGCCCCCCTCCTGCCCTCAAAAATCCTTAACAGATTCTTGTCCCCCCCTTTTAAAAATCAGTTGCATCTGTGAGGAAAACTGCAAAACTATGGAACTAGTAATAATTAGAGCTTTTGGAACCCATTCACTGATTTAATAAAGGCTTGATGAAGAGTTAGGAATTGCTTTGTAAAAACTGCACCGTTACATAACTGGACGTTTTTTTAAAAAACAGCCAAGGCTTTATGACATTTTTGAGGTTTGCTGAGCCTGTCAGTTACTATCAGATCAATGTTTGTTTTCAGATTATGCAAATGCCCGGCCATTTCCCCTTATTCTTTGTGTCACATAAGAATTTCCTGCTTGTCATGCAGCGACTTGCGCTTCACAGCGAATATATCCACAGGGATTGGCACAAGGCAGAGGAGATCGGGGCTCTCTCATGCATGGTCTTGCTCTCGGGATGCTATGTGCAGTCATTTCAGTGTTGAAATGGCCCAGTCCCTTTCCCAGAGCTCTGTGTCCTGATGCATAGCGAACCGGAACCAGTGGGTTAGCGCCTGAAGTTTTCACAGAGTGCTGAAATAGCAGTCCACTTCCCAGCATACATTTTGAAATTCAGCACAAGCTAATGGGAACTGCAAAGAGGCCGCAGTACATGGCTAGTGGGTACAGAAATGTCACTGTTTTGATTTTTACTGCTTTTGAAAAAGCAAAACAAAAACAACTTCCTTTAGAAGCAAATAGCTAAACCATGAGATTCTTTTTGGGGGGTAAGATTCTGTAACTAGAGAGAAGTTCAACTTTTCCTCCAAGTATAGTAATCTCATGCACATGCCTCTGACCTGTTCTCTTCCGTTCCAGTTCAGTAGAGCTGATGGCATTTCACTGCAGCCAAATTTTTATCGGTCATTAAAACTTCTTTTTGGTTTGGGCTAAACAGGACATCAAATTACCTACTGGCAAACATGTTCTTCCAGTGGCTCTCATTCATATGACATTTGTCTAGTGGCTTGCTCTGCCCTATTTCTTATGATTCATCTTTGGTAGGGTTGGGCAATCAATGAACCAGAGGCCTAGCCCCATCTATCATGGGCTCTTGTTAGAAGCCCTCAGTTTAAAAAAACAAACGGTTGTGACTCCGTCTGTCAGTATAACAGAGCTGGCGTGCAGAACATCTTGTAACTTGACAGTACCTTCCCTTGCCATCTAGCCCCAGCAACCCAAAGTCCTGCATAATTTTGTAACGAGTACATGCTGTAGAGCGTGGACTCTAATCTGGAGGAACCGGGTTTGATTCCCCACTCATCCACATGCAGCTGCTGGTGTGGCATGGGTCAGTCACAAGTTCTCTCAGAGCTGGTCTCTCAAGAGCAGTCCTCGGAAGAGCTCTCTCAGCCCCACCTACCCCACAGGGTGTCTGTTGTGGGGAGGGGAAGGGAAAGGAGATGGTAAGCCACTCTGAGACTCCTGAAGGGCGGGGTATCAATCCAGTCTCTTCTTCCTCCTCTTCTGTCAAGTGTCAACCAACAACATCAAAATGAATGTGAATTCTACAACCCGCTAAGTATTTGGTATCCCATTCTAGACAATATAGAGTTAAACAAATTTGATTGGGAAAACATAACGGAAGCTAAATACAAATTGATGCTTTATTGTGAATAATATAACCAATTTAGCTTTCCCTATTTTGCCTATAACTTAATGCTCTTAGTGTACAATATTAAAACATGCTTGGATTTATATGCATTACTAAACCTTACTGGACATATACAAACTCTACCTGTAATTATATGTTTATTAAGTCTATCCTCAACCCTAACGTCATGTCAAACTGTTTATATTGTTGTATTATTAAAATCAATAACATTTCTTTTTAAAAAAGTGTCAACCAACATATGGTAACCCCTCAAGGGGTTTTCAGGGCAGGAGATGAACAGAGGTGGTTTGCCATTGCCTGCCTCCGCATCACAACACTGGTCTTCCTTGGGGGTGCCCCCATCCAAGTCCTAACCACGGCTGAACCGGCTTAGCTTCTGATGTGTTTCAGCTAGTGTGAGCTATTCAGGCTACTAGACGTTTTCCAAGAACTACACACACACTTCCTCATCCTTCAAACAAGTTTGCAGAGCAGGCTAGTGTTATTTGTCCTTGAATTACAGATTTGGGAAGCGGATGCCAGGAGACTCAGAGAGAAGCTAATTTAAGGTAAGACAGTGAGCGTGTGGCATCTGGTGTTTCGAAGCGGCCGCTTCCAGCTCATGCACTCAGCTGGTATGACAAACACTTCTAACTCTGTTCACGGTTCCACTGTTAGTGCAAGTCCCACTGAAGTCTGTGTTATGACTCAGGGCTGAGCACGGGTCCCACAGTCACACTGGCCGAGCCACTTGGCGGAGGTCTTGGCAGTGGTGCTGTCAAGGAACGGGATTGTACCTGACCACATGCCGAAGACGTAAAAGGGTACTTTTTTCGTACACTGACCTTCATTATGCTTTTCTTGAGGGTCCCCTAAGAACAAAATTGGGGGGGGGGGCTTTGTGTGTCCTCTGTGAGAAAGAGGAGGGGATCAGTCGAAATTGCTGCCACCTCTTAGGAGCACTTAAGGGCATTTGTGTTTTCTTAACTGTGTGATTAGATACAGTTCACTGATTCCATAGGGAAGGTCCACCCCACCAGCATGGCTGCTGCATCCATAACTGCGTGGCAGTGCACGGCAAAAAGGCATCTCCTGCGTGGCTGGGGGGGCACCTTTGCTTGCTGGTCTTCATGCATCTGGAACGGTTTGCAAATGAGAACACTGTAGTTGATGAAAAGAAACCCACTTCTGTGTGAATGCAATTCAGCACTGGCTGCTCTGCCCTAATCTACTTCAGATGCCGTTGTCAGTGCTGAATCCAGTGGTCCTGGAGAAGCCATCCCCCGCCCCCCCACCTGTATTCAGTTCCAAAGTCTGATCCCTGTTCCTTTGATGCAGTCTTGTCTTTTTTTACAATCAGGTCAGAGCGCAGCTGGAAGCACAGATGATATTTTTCCCCAGCCTAGAATGGCTTTCGGTCATTTATCGAATCTTTCCTCGTGAAAGCAGGGAAATGTGGATTAGATTGAAATTGTCTGGCAGTCTGATATAAAACTTTGCATGAGCTCCAATGCCAATGCCAATGCAGGACGCCTACATGATAGAGAGCCTCTCCCCACCCATGTGATTGCCAGGGATGAGTACGGACATAGGTCCCCACTGCGCATGTGGACTGCCCCCCAGTCTGAAGTAAATATGGAAGCTCTTGCGTACCCAGGAGCAATGTTCTCTCTAAGCTAATTGAAATTGTCTGGCAGTCTGATATAAAACTTTGCATGAGCTCCAATGCCAATGCAGGACGCCTACACGATAGAGAGCCTCTCCCCATTCATGTGATTGCCAGGGATGAGTACGGACATAGGTCCCCACTGTGCATGTGGACTGCCCCTCAGTCTGAAGTAAATATGGAAGCTCTTGCATACCCAGGAGTCCCCTGGGCTTGTGGAGTACTGAAGCTGTTGCCTTTTTTAGTTGTTGACGCTGTGGAAGACTCAATGTTGACGTCGTGTATTCCTGTGAAGATCGCACCAGGTAGTTAGCAATGCAGTCCTAAGCCGAGTTCTGTGCCGGTTGGCTTCAAGATACCCTGTAAGATGCCCTGTTAGCCAGCTGAATCTATTTCCCAGTAATAACGCAACCAGCAGCCTGGTAAGTCAGTCTCGATCAGTCTCATCAGAGCCTGGAAGCTAAGCAGGGTCAGCCGTGGTTAGTCCTTGCATGGGAGCCCGCCAAGGAAGGCATGGATGGCTGCGCAGAGGAAGGTGTTGGCAAACCACCCGTGCTCATCTCTTGCCTGGAAAGCCCAGGGGTCCTGGGGTTGCCGGGAGTCAGTCGCGACTTGATGGCACACTGATTATCAGCAGTGCCACCACTCGACCTGGGTCAGTTGCAGGGAGTCACTCCTTGACTTGCTTTCCCTGTTCCACAGTGGAGGTGAAAATTTGCTCATGAGTAATACTTGTAGCTTGTAGTAATACTTGGAGCTGCGGTGGCTCAAGTGGTTAAGACGTTGAACTGCAGGCTGTGGAAGGTTGGTCGTTCAGCAGTTCGAGACCCGGGTGTGCCGCATGACGGAGTGAGCTCCCATCTCTCGTTCCAGCTCCTGCCAACCTAGCAGTTCGAAAGCAAGAAATTGCAAGTAGATAAATAGGTACCACTTCGGTGGGAAGGTAACAGCGTTCCATGCGCCTTGGTGTTTAGTCATGCCGGCCACATGACCACGGAAACGTCTGCGGACAGCGCTGGCTCTTCAGCTTTGAAACGGAGATGAGCACCGCAACCCTAGAGTCGGATTCGACTGGCTTTCGAGCAAGGGAACCTTTACCTTTACCTTTAATACTTGTAAAATGATGCATAGGTACATGAAGCATTACTTGTCTGATGGCAGCATTGTTTTCCCAGGTATCATGGCGATCTTGTTCTCGGGCATCGTAATGTCTCACTACACCCACCACAACCTTTCTCCAGTTACGCAGATCCTGATGCAGCAGACTTTGAGAACTGTCGCATTCATGTGCGGTACGTGCTATCTTTCTCTCGGTTCACATCCTCTCAACTTCTTCCCGGTTATATTCATATTCCCTGCACATTAGGCAGTGTGGTGTAGTGGTTAGAGTGCCAGATTAGGCCTGAGGAGACCTCAGTCTTGAATCTCACCTCGGGTCATTCAGTCTCTGTCAGTGTTACTGTCGGGACAGAATGGGGGAGGCAAGGAATCCTGTACTTAGCCCTCATATAATATGAAATAGCTGCACATGGATGCAAAATAGTGGATTGATGATGAGGGTTCACACACAGGGGTTCATTGTTTGGCAACTGCAATACCAGGCAGTGACGAGTTTTAAATTAGGAGTATTTACCATCAGTGTTCCCTCTAGGCTGAGTCAGTGTGAGCTAGCTCACAGGTTTTTTTAAGCCTCCGGCTCACACGTTTTTGTCTTCGCTCAGGAAGGATGGCTCCAGAGCACACTAATTTCTGCAGTAGCCAAATTGCTCACTCGCAACTTTGATGCCAGTAGCTCACAAAGTAGAATTTTTGCTCACAAGACTTCATAGCTTAGAGGGAGCATTGTTTACTATGTGCGTATCCTGCACATTTCTCCCTGGGAGCACACATCAAGTTAATCCTAGAGTGCTGTGTAGCTGATTCAGGAGACAGGCAGTGACTGGCTATACTGAACCTCGTGGCTCACTGGGGGAGTTGAATCCAGGTCTGTTCTGTTCACTACACCTCACAGGTCATCACAGAAGGACCACTAGGACTTTAATCTCATCTCCCACCCTCGCCACCAACACAGGGTTCGCTATGGAGACTGTTGGCATATCTGACAGCAAGGCATCAGGTGCTGCGAAGGCAGGCATGAACTGGCGGTCCCATTTATTTGCTACAAACATTAGAACCTGCATCTCTTGGACCGCGAACCCTGCTGTGATGTATAGTGTTTAAAAAATAAATACGCTAATGACAGCATGATAAAAATCAAAGCTAAAATGCTCAGATCGCTGACTGAAAGATGAAAATCCGTGTCAATAAATCCAGCACTAAAATCCACCAGAGCCAGCACAGATGTCTGCTAGTTAAAAGCAATGAAAAATAAGCAGAAACAAAGTACACACACACACACACACACACCAGTTCCTGGGAGAGGGGAGCTAAAAGCGCTTGGGAATGGTTCAGCTGCCCTGCCTCTAGAGTGTTCAAGGCTTTCACAGTAATGAGCATCACTTTGGATCGGGCCCAGAAAACAAATCGGCAGCTGATGCGGCTCTTTCAAAACAGGCAGCTTTGTGTCCCCTGTAACCGACTGGGGTTGACATTCTTGCCCTACTGCAGTTTGCGCCCTGTTAAGTTTCCAAACAGCAGCAGCCCCAGGTGGAGGGCATTGCGGGAATCTAACCTGCGTGGGATTTAGAGCATGGATAACCGTTGCCAGGCCATGTCTGTCGGGATAGGCCTGCGTCTGAGGTTGCCAGCCTCTGGGTGGGGCATGAAGATGTGGAATTCCAACTGCAGACCGCAGAGATCAGTTCCCTTGAAGAACCTGGCCGCTTAGGGGGATGGACTCTGTGGCGTTATGCCCTGCTGAAGTCCTTTCCCCAGGATCCACCCCTGATTCTCCAGGAATTTCCCAGCCTGGACTTGGCAGCCCACCTGCCACTGGCATATCCACCGAAGCCGTTGTAAAGGTGTCCCGTGCCACAGCTGAGACCCAGCCTGTGCAAACTCAACTCCTTCAGCACAGGTCTGCCTCCTCAGTCGCATGCATCATCAACCGGTTGTTGTGAATGTTCTTTGGGTCATTTCAGGCAAACAAATGCAGAGAGGAACAGAAGTGTAATCTGGCCTGCGGGCCCATCTCTTTTGCACATCCCCCAAGAACAGACTTACAAATATGGAATCTGCCAAACAGTCTAAAGTCACCTTTACTGACAAACAGGATAGAATGTGCAGTAAATCTTCTCTCTCCCTCTTCCTCCAGGCTCTGGCTGAGTCTTGCCCAAGATTGATAACAAAATAGATCTCTTTGACTTCTTCTCTCCCACCCACCCCCACCCCCCGCTGGCTTTTTTTAAATGCAAGAAACTCAACACGCCTTCATTTCTGTTCACAACTTTCGGATCTGGAGAAAGTATTTGGCGACCGGGCGCCAACAGCATGGAGAGGCAATTAGAAGGAAGTGAGGTAGCCAGACACACAGGATGCAGTCGTTTCTTAGAGAGTCTCAGTTTCTAAATTTAGGGACAGTTGCCTTGTTCTTATAAGTGGGAACACGGAGGTGTTTATGACACTGACAGACAAAGACTGAAAAGTGCCTGGCTTTCCCTGCAGGAGTCAGTGCGGGTGCCGCAGAAAAAGAAATACTGTGTTAGCCTGAAAAGAAGATGACTGCAAATTTAGGATCGCCAGGTCCCCCCCTAGCCTCCAGCGGGGGGTTGGGGTGGGGATAAGGTTGCCAGAGCCAGGTTGGGAAACTCCTGGAGATTTGGGGGATGGAGCCTGGGAAGGACAGTAGAATACAATGCTGCAGAATCCGTGCTCCAAAGCATCGATTTTCTCCAGGGGAATGGATCTCTACAGTTTGGAGATGAGGTGTAATTCCAGGGGATCCCCAGGTCCCACCTGGAGACTGGCATCCCTATTCCAAATGTAAGAGGACCTCTCTCCCCTGCCCCCTCCCCGCAAAAGAAGATTATACCCAAAAAACTTTTTGATTTATGCAGCCGCACACATATCAAGCAGTTTTTAAATTCTCCCTGCTGTTTGATTAGGCCAGTTAATATACAGAAGAGGGGGAAAGGTCATACGCATGCTTTTGAATTCTGGTCACCCTTCTCTTGTTTGACTACTTATATCTGTGTATCCTCTCTTTCAGAAACGTGCGTTTTTGCTTTTCTGGGCCTGTCGATCTTTAGCTTTCCTCACAAGTTTGAAATGTCCTTTGTCATCTGGTGCATAGTAGGTATTTATTAGTTATTTGCACTCAGTGATTTTTCCCCCCAGATGTGTTTTGTGTGAACTGTCTCTGGGACTGACTTTTGTAGGGCCTCCAAAATGTCTGCAAAGTGGCCCGCTCTGATCTCTCAGTGGTATTACTCTCACGGGGTGGGGCTAACAATACCAACCTGCCTTATTATGCTGTTGTAACCATTGCCGAGCCCGTGAATAAACAGAAAGGAATCTTGTGGCATCACTCTCCAGCAGCAGAAGTGAATCAGTGAGCAGTGACTCACGAAAGCCTATCCCCTGCCACAAATTTTGTTAGTCTTTAAGGTACTACTGGACTCTTGCTACGGACAAACACAGCTACCCAGCTTGATCCATCTAGATTGATTATTAATAACTCACATCAGTTTTGTATCGCCCACTGAAACTTGTATAATAGGAGGGGCTATGGCTCAGTGGTAGAGCATCTGTTTGGCATGTGGATGGTCATGGGTTCAATCCCCAGTATCTCCAGTTAAAAGTATCAGGTACTAGATGTTATGAAAGACCTCCCCCAGGATCCTGGAGAGCCACTGCCAGTCTGAGTAGACGATACTGGCCTTGATGGATCAGTGGTCAGATTTAGTGTAAGGCAGCTTCAAGGCTGACTGAAGAGTTCCAAGAGGACCTCCACAAACTGAGTAGTGGGCGACAGTGTGGCAAATGAAGTTCAGTGTTGGTAAGTGTAAGGTGATGCACATTGGGACAAAAAGTCCCAACCAAGTGTAGGCTAATGGGGTCTGAACTTGCTGAGACTGAGGTGGGGGGGAGATCTTGGGGTCGTAGTGGATAGCTCAATGAAAGTGTCAAACCAGTGTGCTGCAGCGGTGAAAAAGGCATTAAGGATTATTAGGAAAGGGATTGAGAATAAAACAGCAGATATCGTAATGCCCCTGCATAGATCTATGGTGTGACCTCCTTTGGAACACTGTGTACAGTTCTGGTCACCGTATCTCCAAAAAGGACATTGCAGAGCTGGAAAAAGCGCAGAAGAGGGCAACCAAGATGATGTGCGTGTTGGAGCACCTTCCCTGCGAGCAAAGGCTGAAGAGTTTGGGACTTTTCCTTGTGAGTTAAGAAAAGAGGTTGCGGGGGGGGGGGGGGGACAGGACGGACAGGATAGAGGTTTATAAAATTATGCAGGGGGTGGAGAGAAATATTTTCCCCTCTCACAAAATACTAGAACTCGAAGGCATCCAGGAAAGCTGATGGGCAGTAGGTTCTGGATAGACAAAAGGAAGTACTTCTTTACATAGAGAGTGATTAAAATGTGGCGTTCGCTACCAGAGGATATAGTGATGGCCACAGGAATAAACAGCTTTAAAAGGGCAACCTCCACATTCAGCGGCACTAATCCTCTGAATCCCAGAGCCAGGAGGCGGCAACGGGATGGTTTCAGCCTCTATGCCTTGTTGTTGGCCCTACAGAGGAACTGGTTGGCCACTGTGTGTGACAGAATGATGGACTTACATGGACCATTCATCTGATCCAGCAGGGCTCTTCTTGTATTCTTATGTGTTCATTATTGCAACTTGCATAAGTACTTGTTTTTGTGTTGTATCTTTTAATAATGCTGGGCAATGCTGTCCTTTTAAAGGTGGGTGGGCAGGATTAGTTTTAGTTTTCATGGAAAGGTATAAATCTCCTTGGACTTGTTTGCTGTTGTCTTCACTGAAATCAGGGAAACCTCGGGGTGGGGGGAGGGAATTGCTTTATATCTAGGAACAGCACTTTGGCCCTTGAGAGGAAGCATCTCCTTGACTCTTAGCTGCTTCACCACGGAGAGCTATTAAGTTGAAAGAGACTATCCCCGGGCATCCCCTGCGGGAGCTAGATCTGCATTCCTGTTAACCCTCAGGCTTTTAATGAATGCTGTCTTGGCCTTAAATTATTTAGGGCTGCTTACTTCTCAGTCAGAAAGTGTCTGGTGAATATATGCAGTTTGTATCTGTGACTTTATTCAGCTGCTCTGATGGAGGCACGTCGGACCTGGGCTTTAAGCAGCTCAAATTAAAATGGATCCTCAACACCTCTGCTTGTGAACTGGCTGGAAGAGGGGATCCAAACTGCTCCCTACCACAAATCATTTACAATTTGGAGTGCTCTGATATGTTTTGTATTTATTTAGACAGATTTTTTAAAATTCCCCCTCTTCCTCCAAGGAGCTTAGAGCGATGTACTTGGTTTTCCCTGAGTCCATTTTGCCCTCACAACAACCCGGTGAGGTAGGTTAGGCTGAGAGAATGAACCTCCTAAGGTCACCCAGCAAAGCCACTATAGCAGGTTTAAACCTCTGCCTCCTTAATCCTAGCACCATACTGTAAGCACTGCTCTCTGTAATTCTCCCTTCCATCCTGTAGCTAACGTTCCTTGCTCTTGACAGGTACTCGTGCTTTTTGGCAGAGCTGTCAATATTTTTCCACTCTCCTACCTGCTCAATTTCTTCCGCGATCACAAGATCACCCCCAAAATGATGTTCATCATGTGGTTTAGCGGTAAGAATTCATTTACATATAACGTGTTCTTGTTGGGGCCCGCAACAGGCACCCTTAGGTAAAACCTTACAGCTTCAGAGTGTTTAAAAAACAACCACCACCGATACAGAAATGAAAAGCACACTGCATAAGAAACGGAAACACAGAACATATTGATGAGATTGTTTTGCCTGTGGATTGTAGTATCCACAAGCCCTTTGTGCATTTCTCCAGACCCTAAAGAAATGGTGTATGAGCCCTGAGATAGCAGAAGAAACTACACACAGGGCTGCAGGCAGACATGTGCCAGTTTTCTGCACCCAGGAACTTAGCTGTTGGCAATGAACGGCCCACTTTCTGGGAGGCCAAACTTGAAGTGTATCGAGAGTTGGAAGGCCCCTGGCTGGTTGTTCGTTTGCATTTAATTGGCCTGAAAGTCACAAGGATGGGTGTGGCATAAGGTAAGAGGCGGCTGGCAAAGTTATAAGGCCAAAATCAGACACATGCTGTAAAGTGCCAGAAGGTTGAAACCAAATTTTTAATCCATCCTCTGAGTGCACGTAGGTCACTTTGGAAACCCATTGCAAGCACATTTGGAACCAGATTTCTGTTTTTCACGTGCCCACACCAACACTGGGAGAAGGACTGAACTGTGTTTTAAGTGGCACGTGTGAATTGGCCCTCAGCAGCATACATGTGGACTAGGGAACGTATATACAGCAAGTTGCTTCTGGTATCTTCCCTTATTTTGTTTCCTGCAGTCTCTGTTCAGCTACTGTTGTCTCCCTTTGTTCTTTTCCTTCTACTTCTGCCTTTATACCCCTGGCCTGAGGATCCCTGTGCCCACAGTGGTTTCCTTCTTCCAGCCCTTTTCTTCCGTGGCATGAACCTACCAGACCACTGAGGTCATCTTCAGAGGCCATCCTTCAGGTGTCCTTCTCATCTGAGGTTAGATCGGTGGCAGCCCAAGAAAGGGCCTTCTCTGTTGTGGCACCCAAATGATGGAATTCTTTCCCCCAGGAAGATTCAACTGCCCCTTCAATAACTGTCTTCCACCAGAGGGTGAAGACTTTTCTGTTCTGCCTGGTGTCCCCTCACCGATTCTTATTGACCCCTCCTCCCTGTTCATGTGTCTGTGTTCGTTTTATTTGCTTGTGATGGTTTTGTATATAAATAGGTACCACTTCGGTGGGAAGGTAACAGCGTTCCATGCACCTTGGTATTTAGTCATGCTGGCCACATGACCACGGAAATGTCTTCGGACAGCGCTGGCTCTTCGGCTTTGAAACGGAGATGAGCACCGCAACCCTAGAGTCAGATTCAACTGGCTTTTGAGCAAGGGAACCTTTCCCTTATCTGTGTATTTCACTTGTTTTAATTTTTCTTTATTTGTCACCTTGGGGACCCTATATTGGGTGGAAAGGCAGCCTAGATTTTTTTGAAATAAATAAATAAAAGCAGGGACTTGAACCTGAGTCTCCTACATTCTACATTAGCAGTCTAACCATTTCCCCATGCTGGTTACCTTTATCCTGCCCCTTTTAATCTGTGCCTTATTTTGGTAGGATACAATTCACCTCTCACTTTCTACTTGTTCAAGCTAGCAAGGACCCCCCCCCCCACACACACACACCTTAAAACCAAAACCTGGAAGCAACCCATCAAAGTCACATGTCAGACATCGAAGTTGTACACTTTTTAAAAAACAAAAAGTTTGTTGAAAGTTGGCGTTCTTCCTCTTCTCGGTTTTCAGCACTCAGAAAGACCGTGCTGTCTGGTCTCTGCCCCTCCCTATACGACTGTGGAATCCTTTAATTTTTTTTTGAAAGCCAGTATTGCCTACCCATGAGTATAGGGAAACAAAAGTGATCAATCACAGCCTGGACCCTAACCTTAGAGCAACAAAAGTACTCATTTATTTAAAATATTTATATACTTCTTTTCTGTCACATGCTCAAAACTGTTTAATAAGGAGGAAATACTTTGGACGGCTTTGAAACCGCGTCAGTGGGAAAAGAGACTGAAGAGTTTCTTCCACCTTTCCAGAGTTAAGATTCAGGTCCAGCAGCACTTTAAAGACCAAGGAGATTTCCAGGGCGTCAGCTTTTTGAGACTCAGTGCTCACTCTGCCAGTATCTGACAAAAGGGAGCCTCGACTCTCAGAAACTTTATGCCCTGGAGACCTTCTTGGTTTTTAAGACGCCGCTGGATTTGAATCGAGCTCTTCTACTACAGACCAACACGGCCACCCACCTAAAATGTTCTGGGCCTTGTGTTTGTTTTCTCAGGCTTACGCGGGGCGATCCCCTATGCCCTGAGTCTCCACTTGGGCCTCGAACCGATTGAAAAGCGGCAGCTGATTGGGACCACCACCATCATCATCGTTTTGTTCACCATCTTACTGCTGGGCGGAGGGACCATGCCCTTAATCAGACTGATCGATATCGAAGACTCGAAAGCCCGTCGGAAGAGCAAGAAGGATTTTCGGAAGAGCAAGAAGGACATTAACCTCAGCAAGACGGAAAAAATGGTTAGCTCTCCCCACCCCACCCCCTCCCCCCTTCAGCAAATTGATTCTTGGCTTTCAGATGCGCTGTGAGTGACTGCCTGCCTGAACTACATGGGAATTGAGGAGGAGGACGTGGGCCAGAGATTCGTGAGGCTCCTGAATATTCCTCCCCGCGCCTGGATCCTCTGCCCTTTCCTTAATCCGCTGCTGTCAGTTGGAGCGGGCTTTCAGCATTCGAGTGATAAATGTAGCACAATCGAATTACAAGTCAGCTGCCTTTTAAAAATGAAATAAGCTCGCCATTGAAATGCAGACGTTGATGCCTCCTGATGGGGCTGAGTCACATATAAGTGGCTGATGATAACACATAGATGGTGAGTCACCCATCACTTGGAGAGGGCAAGGCTGTACTTCAGTGATAAGCAGCAGATGGAAATGACTGGCGCGGGGCTCAAAATCAAGCAGAGGCACAATTTTGTGGAGGAGAGGGAGGAGAGAGAGAGAGCCAGAGCCTGGAAGAGCTTATTTGAGGTTACTGTCTTGCCAAAGCAGATGCACTGCAGGACAGTTAACCCTACCTTAAGCCTCTGCCACTTCTTAGAGAGCTGGTTTCCTAGAGCAGGCTACCTTTCAGCGGGATAACTGATGAAGCATTTTCAGACCAAGGACAGCTCCCCACTCGATGCAGCAAAAGCATGGTTACTGTGCAGCTGTCGATGGCACACCGATGTTCGCATATGCAGTGCATGATTGATCCTGGGTCTTCAGCAGCATGGTCCTGGGTGTTTAAAGCTGTGCACAGGCCCTTGTAGCTCTTCCACACACTGTGTGGTTCGTGGCTGGAAATGGCAATGCTCAACTGGAGTACGCTTTCACACCTGGATTGTTTTCAGTTTGCATGGCGGTGGCCTTGGGAGTTTTCTGAGGATGAGACAGAAGCTTGTGAATAAACATCTGTTTTCTTTTTTAATCCCACCACCCTTCCTCTAAGCAGAGCTGTAGCTAGCACGAGGTGTACAGAGTGACGCCACCTCCCGAATATCCAACACCCCCACCGGATCTTAGAATTTTTTTTTTAATTCCATTTTTTCTGCTGTGCCCACGGGCTGATATACCCCCCACTGGCGCGTTGGCTTTTCTGCAGCGACCATCAGAGGTCCACTCCACACCATAAAGCCTTTCTCAG